TAAGGAGTTGAATGAAACCCACTTATATATATATATATATATATATATATATATATATATATATATATATATATATATATATATATATATATATATATATATATATATATATATATCCCATGAGTCTTACTAATATGACATGATCGTATAGATTGCTGCTGTACAGGGCTCCGATAGAAGTCGAGTGATTGTCTGTCACTCGCTAGAGATAGGAAATATATTACTGTATTATTATCACTTGGAAAATATAAATGGTGGAAAGAAAAATGATAACTGGGCAGGGATATGGTTTAGGTATTGGTGGGTGTAAGAGGTTGTGTCATGTGGCCACGGGGCATAGCTTGGTTATACTACTTTCCCTGCCTGTGTCGGTTAAGGACCGACCGTTGCATAAGACTCTAGGCAAGTCACAGATTTATTATCCCGAGCACATACTTGGGTATGAGTGCTTGGAAGACTTGTTACTCTCTTGTCATGGATTTTGGATCTTTTTGGACCGACTGTCATGGTGGTTTTTAGGTTATGAGGTCCTTGCACAGCACTGAGTCCGGGACTCAGGGGCGGGGGCTTGGAGTTCCAGGTTGGATAGGGACCTGGACCCCGTGACAGGAGGGTAGTGAGTTGATCCTGCTTGTGCCTAGGGTACAAGTGGGGCGTGTGTTTTGGGGATACCCAGCTGAGGGCATTGATTCACAAATCGTCGGACGATCCGGTACGACTTGTCGATGGTCTAGCACCGTAGTAAGAACTAAAAGATAAAAGATAGAAAAAGGAAATCTGATTGCTTACCACCTGCTTGAAAGTAGCACATGTGCTCACATAGATGGTTAGTTAATGAACTAATGCATTGCTAATAAAAATAAAAAATAAGGATGCACATTTAGTAATGCTTCCTGCAGGTGCAATAAACCCATAAGCCAGATAACCTTGCATATCCTTGGAGTCTTTTCTTTCCTCCTGTCGGGTAAGTCTTGCTGAGTATAATTGAGTACTCGGGGTTTTATTTCCCCCTGTTGTAGGAGACAGGTGGATGCTAGAGCTGACCCTTGTGTGTGGATTCATCCTAGTGGGCTCAGAGAGGATTTACTTTACGCTACGATCATAGTCTTTAATTATAACTCTCACTAAATGTTTTTATAAATAAAAGTTTTATAATCTATTGTCATAGTTTACATATCAATGATTCATCATGTCATGACTAGATAATTATTTCCGTTGTAATTCTGATCACATGTTTTTATTCCATCGTTCAATTAAATTGTTCATAACTCTGATAATATGATCACATTTCGCTATTATAAATAATAAATGTTATACTCTGATGTTACATGTAAAGTAATGTAAGAAAATGGTTTAAGAATGATGTAAGCTTCATTCTCTCATTTGTGATCCTGATGGAAAAATATGGATTTTAGGGTTCTCTCTTGGGGTGTGCCCGACGGAACCGAGTAATTTGGTATTCTTCCTTGAGTGCTTAGTGTCTAATGGAAGACGAGCATTTCTAGAAGGCATTAGATTAGGTGGTTCTGCTATAGTTGGCCTTGCGCGTAGTCGGTTGTGTTCTTCTTGCTGCCGCTGGGATTGCCGTGGACTGCTGGCATCCATTTGATCGAGCTAGCGTCATGCGTGTCTAGCCCAGTTGCCTCCGAGATTGCCTGACGAAGGATGGGCGCGAGTCGCGACGGCTGCAGGCGCATGCTAGTAGTACATGTACTGATGTACATCTAGGCATGAGTAGCGACATGCAGATCGATGATCCATCTCCGCGATGCGGTGATTAGATTCATAGCGACATGCAGATCGATGATCCATCTCCGTGATGCGGTGGTTAGATTCAAAGGGGCAAGCCGGCCAGCTGTGTGCTTCAGCTTCTTCTCGCTGATTGTACTGAACTGATGGTTCCTGCATGCTACTGTGATCCTAGTAGATGGCCGGCAACTTTTGTTGCTGCTGTCGATGGCTAGCTTGTTCCTGCTACTAGCTGATATCTAGCCAATGCACGCACATGACTGCTGGTGGTGCCGGTCTGCTAGGAGGTGGTCACGGCCGACTGGGACTGCAGGGCTAGGGCACAAGCCGCACGACGAAGGAAGGAGGAGCGGCGGTGGAGTCGAAGAAAAAAAATCCAAGTGGCACCAAATTTTAATTTTTTAGAGTGGAATATTGGATACTATTAGAGATGGATTTTTTTTTCTCCCAATATCTTTTTAAAAGTTGGAAAACATGGTGTTTTTAGTAAGAAAATTTATAAAACTCTTGGAGATGCTATTAGGCCCGATCGTCGGACTGTAACCCAGCACCGAGGGCGTTTCCCGTGCTGCAAGGAGATCCCGTACACGTACAAGTAGCGTGCACGCACGTGGGCGGATGGCTGGCGCAGGCTGCCCATCCTGCAGGGCCCACCATATTACACCCATATTACACCATCGGATTTTTTGCAATAAATCCTTCAGAACAAGATCCCACATGGAGATATTTAGATAAAGTTTTCTTAACATCCATTTATCTTATAAACATGAACTATTTTCTTTTATTGAGCAGAGATAGTGTTTTAGGTTTAGATAACAATGTTCGTCTTAATAAGAAAAATATTCTCGGTTTAAAAGAACAATATTATAATTTTGGGTTCATGAAATTGGTATTATAACATACATAAAAATAAATAAATACATAACAAAAATAAAAAAGTAATAAAATCTAGAGCAAAGTACGAAGAAAAAAATAAAAACACGTAATAGAAAAAAATTAAAAGAACATCATATGGATACTTTTCAAGCATCATAAAATATACTATAGAGCATCACATGTGTACTAAGTGAACATCACTAAATCCCTCATAGAACATCGTTAAATACATTATAGAACATCGCATATATATTACATGAAAATCATTAAATACATCATATAACATTACATGTGTACTTAGTGAACATCACTAAATACATTATAGAACATCAAATATATATTACGTTAACATCACTAAATAAATCATAGAACATCATATGTATACTAATGATTAATGAACATCACAAAAATATGGTAGATGTGATGAAAGGTAAAATAGAAAAAATAAAAATAAAAAATCTATAGAAAACATAAAGACAAAGAGAAAAGGAAAAAGAAAGGAAAACAAAAAGAATAAATATAAAAAATAAAATAAAAAATACAAATAAAATAATTAATTATAGTAAGAGCAAAAAAGGAAAATAAAATAAATAAAAATATAAAAGTTGTAAAATAAAAATAAAAATCACATGAAACAAAAAAATAAAAATAAAAAATAAATTGAAGAAAGAAAAGAAAAAATAATAAGAAAAGGGAAGAAAAGAAATAAAAAGAAACATAAAAAATATAAAATAAAAAGAATAATAAAAAATCACATAAAACAAAAAACAAATAAAAATAAAAAATGAAGCATGAAAAGGAAAAAGAGAAAGAAAAAAGAAAGGAAAAGAAAAAGAAAGAAATGAGAAGAATAAGAAAAAGGAAAAAGGAAAGGAAACTTACGTACTGTACACGTACCTAAGTCAGCGCCGTGGTTCCCGCCCGACTTCCCGCGCGCCCGGTTCCTGTGCAGGTTCTCGCTCGCCATCGGCGGAAGTATTCGGACCCAATGATTCGTGGCGGTCTCCGGTCGCACGCGGAGTAGCAAGAGCCAAAATTGCTTCGGCGTCTCAGCATCTGGGCCAAAATTCTGTTGGCCTGCATAGTACTAACAATTTGTTGGGTCAAATTTTAGGATAGTTCTGGACCGGAAAAAGTCAACATTACATCTTTTAACTTTTGCATAAGTCTATTTTTTCTCCTGAATTCTAAAACCGGGTAAACCACCTCTCTGAACTTTTAAAACCATTCGTTTTACCTCCCTAATAAGAAGTTTTTAAAGACGGTTTTATCTTTTTTTATTTATTTCGGTTGAATCTTTAAAAAATTATAGTAAATCACAAAAAATCATAAAATAGAAAATCTAATTTTGTTGGACTCCACATGAGTAGATCTACACAGTGAACATATAATATGGTATGCTTTAATACAAAATTTTTAGTGTAACTTTAGATATATGCTTTTCTGTAATTAATTCATAGCTATAGTTTCTATGGTCCAATTGTGGTGTAATTTTTATGGCGGGCTAATTATTGAATGCTTGAACTATAATAAAAAATTCATACTCATTGGATCATGTATATCTTAGTTATGGATTTATAAATACATTTTAACAAACATAAACCTAAATAAATCTAATGATAGAAAAGCATACACCTAAATACTTTTTAACAAGCATACACCTAAATAAATTTTTACTACAGTTCAAGCATAAAATAATTAGCCCACCATAAAAATTTCACCACAATTGGACCATATATATTGCAGCTATGAATTTTTTTCCAACACGAGGTCGAACCCCATTTCCATTCACGATGAAACGGAAAATACAGAAGATTGTTGAGAGTGGGTGGTAGGAGATACGGGAGATAAAAGTTTGTGGAATTGCAGCTATGAATTAATTATAGTAAAGCATAAATCTAAAGATACAATAAAAAATATATACTAAAGCATACCATATTATATGTTCACTGTGTAGATCTACTCATGTGGAGTCCAATAAAATTAGATTTTCTATTTTATGAGTTTTCTGTGATTTACTATGATTTTTCAAAGATTCAACCAAAATAAATAAAAAAAAAATACAAAACCGCCTTTGAAAACCGCTTGTAACCGGTTAGGGAGGTAAAACGGACGATTTTAAAAATTCAGGGATGTAGTTTACCCGATTTTAGAGTTTAGGCATGAAAAACAAACTTTCTCAAAAATTGAAGAGGTAATCTGAACTTTTCCGAACTTTTCCTTCCGGACCTATCTGGGCTAGCCACTGGCCCGCCACTGCATGAGATCCTAACAGAGTGTTAGTCCGCAGTAGTCCTGTGTAAAATTTGTTTTTTTAATAAAGAAAGCTTTTATTAAATTCTCAAAGTGTTACATCAAGACGATACAAATCCCGCATGACGTCAGGTGCGCTACTAGTTACATATTTAGGTTAACCGTTGTTGTTTTTTTGCCTTTGATTTAATATAACTATAACGAAAACATATCAAAGCATGATGATACAACCATTTTCTCTACTTAAAAAAATAAAAGTTGTCACAGCTTATGGACATATATTAGGTGATACTCACTACTACAGATATGAGATCTAGTCCCGGTTGAAAACTAGCTCTACTGCCGGTTTTCCAACCGGGACTAGCAATCCGGACTAAAGGTGTTGTTCTTTTGTCTCGGTTTGCCACAACCGGCACTAAAGATCCTCCCAGCTTTAAAAAAAAATAATGCTTCCCACTGCTGCGCCCCGTGAAATTCAAACCCAAGACCTCATGCACTGTGCCTCGCGTAGCTTACCACTCCACCTACACAACACATCTAACAATTGATGGGATGCTTTCTTTTTGAACTAACCCATCGGAGGACCTTTAGCCCTGGTTGGTGTTACCAACCGGGACTAAAGGTTGGAGGACTTCGGTTGGGACTCCCTCGCCAGGTCTACCTTTAGGCCCCGATGGCTCCAATCGGGACTAAAGGAGGACCTTTAGTCCAGAGCCGTTAGGAGAGGGACCTTTAGTCCTGGGACTAGACACCAAGGACTAAAGGCCTCTCTAGTCCCGAGGACAAAAAATGTCAAGATTAATGCTAAATTGGGACATCATTCTAAAGTATGTTCTCTAGTAGTGACTCCCTTATTCATGCTTCTTACATGCATATCCTCCCTAGATCAATCAACACATCGCCCACTATTATTTGTAATGAACAAGGAAAAGATGTAAATACATACTCCCTCCGTCCCACAGAGAATGCCGTTTTCACTTACCAAGAAGTCAAATATTTTTAACTCTAGCCACCTATATTAAAAAAAGAATATTAACATTTATAATATATAATTAGTATCGTTAGATAAATCATGCAATATATTTCCATGATAATTTTTTAGTGATACGAATGTTGCTAATATTTCTATAAAACTAGTCCAATTTGAGAAAGTTTTTACCAACGCGCATCCCATAACATCATTCTTTTTGGGACGAAGAGAGTACCTATGTTTTGAATGCTGAAGGTGTTAGATGTGGGTAATGCTTCGGTAATCCCTTATCTATTAGAAGATAATACTTCAAATAAATCTAAACCCTTTTTTTTTTAATTTTCTGCTTAATTAATTAATTAAACTGAAAAAGAAACATTAAGTATTCCTGAATCCCCTCAACACGGAGACAGAAGCCCAACGCGTGATATCCTCCCTTTTCCTCCTTGCTAATTTCATGCATGCAAAATAGATCATTTTTTTTGGTAATGGACAAGTTTCATGTGTGCCCAACGTGAGTTACTTGCATAAAAATATATTTTATGCTAACTAAATTATGTTGTATCTAAAGTTGCAAAAAATAAGAAGATTTATCACATCCAATAGATTATGTATACATCATCAATTAGATCTAAAAAAGATCTTTGTTTTTCCTTATTTATCCCAGGAAGTAATAGATGATTCTAACTATCCGATCTAATTAAATAAAGAACTGATAGTTATCTAGGAGTACCACGGCAAAACTTATTAGATGCTATCTGTTTCTTCTAGGAAGCAGCTAAAAATTTTCGTGCATCCAGCACTGTACTACTTCTCAGCCATTATATTTGTTTTCTGCAGGCTTAACAGTAGTTAGTGCTGGTTTTGGCCTACTGTTTTCGCTTCTCGATGTTGCAAAAATCACCAATAAACTCAAGCAACAAAGAATCAAGAAGCTGAGACGAACGATTTTCAAGAGGAACCATGGATTGCTTCTCCAACAGTTAATCTCATCAAACAGAGACATAGCTGAGAATATGAAGATTTTCGGATTACAAGAACTAGAGCAAGCAACCAATAAATTCGACCATAATCGCATCCTTGGCGGTGGAGGACATGGCATAATCTTTAAGGGCATCTTAGCTGATCAACGTATTGTGGCCATCAAGAAGTCTAAAATTGCAGTTCAGAGGGAAATTGATCAATTCATAAATGAAGTTGTCGTACTTTCACAAACTAATCATAGAAATGTGGTGAAGCTCTTCGGTTGTTGCCTTGAGAGCGAAGTTCCTTTACTAGTTTATGAGTTTATATCAAATGGAACTCTGTCATATCATTCCATGAGCAAAGTGAAAATCTTTTGTCATGGAAAGACAGACTGAGGATTGCACTGGAAACTTCCAGGGCCATTGCATATCTACATAGTGCTGCTTCCATATTAGTGTTCCATAGAGATATCAAGTCTGCAAACATACTGCTGACTGATGCGTTAACAGCAAAGGTGTCAGATTTTGGAGCTTCAAGGTCAATTTCAATAGATGACACAGGAATACTTACAGGCATCCAAGGAACTCATGGTTACCTTGATCCTGAGTACTACTACACTAGTCGACTTACGTAAAAGAGTGATGTTTATAGCTTTGGTGTCATCTTAGCGGAACTTCTAACAAGGGTTAAACCGGTTTTCTCAACTCCGTCATCAGAAGTTACAAGCCTAGCTTCGCACATTGTGTCAATGATGAGAGACAATCGCTTATGTGATATTCTAGATCCTCATATTGTTGAAGAGGGAAATACTGAAGACATCAAGGTGGTTGCAGCCCTCACAAGAGCATGCTTAAGCTTAAAAGGTGAAGAAAGGCCTACCATGAGGCAAGTCGAGATAACGCTTGAAGATCTACAAGGATCAAAGGTCCTCCCCAATTCTCGGATGACAAGTCAAAATGCTATACAAGATGAGTCATATAACGGAAACAATGGCAACCTTAGAGAAAGAGTTCATAAGCGATTGTCAAGGCCGGAGCTTAGAGAAAGGCACTAGACTATACAGCTTAGAGAAAGAGTTCATACAATCATCTGAAATTCCAAGATGATTGTGGACTGCCAGAAATTACCACATGTTACAATCTGGAAGAACGCGAAGCGACCTTCACTAAGGAGCTTTCCCTTTGGATTCATAGGGCTAAGAACAAATCTCTTCCACCATTTGAAATAAGGATTCATAACATTTTGTGATTTTTCTTGTTTTGATCGTCTTCTTTCTTTCCTTTTCTGTTTCTTGAATCTTGCTTGTAAGACTGTCTTCTTTTGCTCTTTTAATGGGACATCGGCGCCTCCTGATTCCTAAATGGACAGCAATTGCACAGCGTTTCTCTGAAACTTGCCGCAAGGATATTTTAGTGGCTAGGCCGGTACTCCATGTGGTCGCTAGTTTTCTGTCGCAGCGTCGTCGTCGTTGCCATTGCCTTCCTTTGTCAATTGTCATCCAGTGTGCGTTTGCTCCTCGCACATGTGTATACAGTACCGGCCACCGATTCTGGACCGCTGATGGCCATGGACCCCCGAGTATGTTAGGAAACTGTGCCCACACACAGACTTTTACTGGCCCAAGCAGCAAGCTGCGTTTGTGAAGCTGTTGCAGTGTCAACGAGCCCATAAAACAGTGCCCATAACCAAGGGTTTCCTTCCTAATTCTGCCGTGATCCTACGAACTGCCAAGGCCGGAGCTCGCCGGAAGCTTAACTTAACTGGAGCTCACATGCAGGGCTCGTGATTTCTGTTGCTCAGTAGAGTAAAGATTGCGAAGTAAGTGCTTGTTATACAAAATAAATATCGAAAACAAAGGAACGTGAGGGAGTAAGTAAAACCCTACAGGACTTTAAAACAATAGGATTGAAAGAAGTATGCTGTTTGGGTCAAAGGAAAATCAGTGCTCGAAGCAGTAATTGGAGCAATTGTCAGTCCAACACTACTTCAGTGGTACTTTTCAGCGAACAAACAGTGTTTTTCCTCTCACAACATTTCAGCATAAGCATTAGTATAAGTCAAATTTCAGCGAAACGAACAGGTTCACTGGAGAGCAATCATCGCTCATTAGTTACTGAAAGCAGCATTCAATATTCTCTTGGACTGGACCGATGAGAGCAACAGTGAGAAAGCTCTGCGATTAAGAGCAGAGACGGAGCCGCAGGATCTTTTTCGGAAATATTGACGGGGCCGAAGATTCTTCCCTTCGCCTTCACTGTCTGCATTTTTTTCGTGTGAAAAAAAATGATGGAGACAGAACCTTTTCATTCAGAGGAGTAGAAACGCCAGACCCTTTCATCCAAACAGCTACTTGGACACCCTCCAATTGAACACTGCTGCCACATTTTAAAACTTTCCATACACTTTCTCCCCTTCGATCCCAACAGGGCCCAGAAAAGTTGTCCCGTCCCGGAATCTCATGAACTGTGCCTTTGAAACTTCAAAGTGAAATTCTTTTATCCCCCCCCCCCCCCGGCGGCCGCCGCTGGTCTGTGCCTGGCCATGTAGGCGCAACTGGCCCGGTCATTACACAAACTTCCTACTAATAGTAAAATAAAAGGACGTTTTCGCAATCCAAAGAAGCTTGTAGGTCCCACCACCAGGCACAGTAGCCCCCACCCGGGGTCCACGGACGCAACGCAAGCTGTGACCGCACTGCACTGCAGTGCATCCGTCCCTCATGACATGACCCTTATCTGGAGATCTCGCGAAGAAAGAAAGATCCCGTGCTGTCCGTCATTATTAACCCAACAGCGACATCAACAACTAGTTGCTCGTCGGCGCTCGCAACTGGGGAAGGCCGCACCCGCCAGCCGCACAACCCACCTCCTCGTCCTTCCCGTCCCGGGCGCCACCGGCAAGTAAGTGACAGCACCGTCCGAGCGTCGCCGTCCTTTACTTTACTTAACCAGCGAGCTGACCAGCTGAGGAGGAGCAAGACGGCGCCCCACCCCCACAGAATTTCTCTCTCGTCCACCACCAGCTGAGCTCATCAGGTCGGCGTCTCGTCGCTAGCTGCCGCGAGCAAGACAGGTGCGCGTGCGTGCGGCGGCGAGGATTCGATTAGATTGGAACCGTACGTCGCCCGTCGGTCCAGTCGTCGTCGATGGGGATCCACCTGGTGGCGTTCGTGGCGGCGAGGGGCTTCCTGCAGGTGTTCCAGGTGTCGGCGCCGCTGCTGTGGCCGCTCAACCTCTGGCTGCCGCTGGCCCGCCACCTGCCCGAGGCCTGCGCCGCCTTCTACGACGCCCTCGTCTGGCACGCGGGCCGCCTGCGCGCCACCGTCCGGCGCCACCGACGCGACAGCGGCAGCCGGAGCGCCCTCGACGAGTACCTCCGCAACGCCACGATGCTAACCCTCTCGGACTGAGAGACTGCTGAGCCGAGAGCGGCCAGTATCGGCGGCGGGCGTGCACAGCCTGCCGCCGGCGCAAGGCCGGCGCGCGTGTGGGGCTCGTTTTCCACCTGTGAGTAGCTATAGCTAGGATCTGTTATCTCCGTTTGTTTCTTTTTTCCTTCGCATTTCTTTTTGCTGCTTTTCGGTGCTTAGTAGCTTGTACTTGCTAGCATCTCAAGGTTGAGCATTGAGGAGCTCCGTGTGGTAAATTTTGTAATGCTCATCTGTAACTGAAGAACAAACCCATTTTAATCGGCATCGAGCTTACCGTTATGTTAGTTTGTTCTCTTTCTTGCAACCACGGAATGCCGATATTTTGTGGAGAAATGAACAAAGTTCACATAAACGCTATGAATGCCGTACCCGCTCAATTAAGGAGAAAACAACCAAGCGTACAAATCGCATGCGTCGAATGACAGTCAGACAGTGGCCACCATTGCCCACTGTCCATTGTCTTGTACGAGTACGTGTACCATTACTACCTTCACGTAAAAATACTATATAATTTTAATCCATTTTTTCAAGTTTGACCAAATATTAATATACTGAGTTGAATTATATTTTCATTCTATATAAAATTATAAATACGGATATTATTCGTAATAAATCGAATTGAGGATAAGATAATTTGATCTGGACAAGATTTAGAGATAGTTTTTTTTTTGGGGTTGGGGGGGGTGACGACGTAGGTAGCCGCTGGATGTCACTCGCGATTTTCTTTCCAACGACCAATGTTGATTTCACGATTTGTTGGCCGCATCTATTCCTAGTTTTGCTGTATCAATTGCGCCTGTTTTTTTTTAAAAAAAAACAAAACTAATTGCGCCTGGTTTTGATCAGGATGCAAACCAAACACAAGCAAAAAAAAAAGATGGTTAGTTCACGGAAACGCGGCGCCAGCTGGGTTGTTGATAGAATAAAGAATGTTACCTTTTTTTAGATCAGCGCATGCCGGTCTCCTTTGTTCAAGGGCTGACAGACTGGCCCACTGGCCCCTGGCCCGTGGGCCGCTAGGCCCATCTGGTAAATGTGGGGTCCAGAGTCCGGACAGTAAGGCGTGGGAAGGTTTCCTTTTTCAAATCACTGAAACTCTGTGCCGTGATGATCGGATACGGCCGGGCAGGTTCGACGTCGACTCGGCAGCGTTGCGGACCGCAACGCACGCTCTACAGTACTTTATTGTATGCCAATTGCCAAGCACGTCACCGTCCCTTTCATCGGAGCCAACGACATTTTCAGCGCGGTGCGCGTGTCCTGTAGGTCTGTGGCGGCACTGAAGGCGACGGCTCCCCGAATGGCGTGTTGACAACGGGGCAGTGCGCGACGGCGCCACGAATGGCGTATTGACAACGGGGCAGGGCGTGCCAGCAAGGATTGCCGGCTCGCAGGTCGCAGCCCCACCAGAAGGCAACACCGCCATCACCATCATCGTACTATCGGCAAGTGGCAACAAAGGAAAAATCGGCATTCCCATTATTTTTTCCTTGGTCGTACTGTACTTTGCTGTACTAATACGCTTCATTTTTTTCTTACTTACCTCCGTTTTCGTTTACTTGTCACCGATTTTTACTGTAGCAATTTTGACCATACGTTTTTTTCTACAAAAGATTTTTTTTAGATACATTAAGTTTTCACATATATGATTCTTTATTGAACATACTTCATCAATGTTATATACATTGAAGTATCTAATACTTTTTTAGAAGAAAAAACAGATGGTCAAATTTTCTATAGTAAAAAGCTGCTGACAAGTAAACACAAACGGAGGAAAGTAATAAACAAAAAGGGAAGAAAGTACAGTTCAGTTGTATGTTGTGGTTGGCCCCCTTCGGCTAGAGGAAAGTTAGATGAAAGTGGATGAAAAATACTGTTCCGGATGAAATGTTATGAGAAAAATACAATTTTGAATGAAAAAAGAAACCGAACAAGCCAGTTTTACGGACACGCGAACGGGGCATAGGAGTACGTATCAGCTAAATACTTGCACGCCACAGTTATTTATGCGTTTCGGCTTTGGATTAGCTGGAGGAAGCTGCTCAGTTGTGTACAGGTCTCGACTTAACATTAGTACTCGTGTTTTTCTAGATGTATTCCACTTCCACAAGTCATATTTCTCTAAATTTGTTTATAATAAACACATCACGATATATTTGCTTTAATAAATTCTCTATGAAATAGGTCTTGATAGCATATTTATTTGAACTTTGATGACGTCAGTTTATTTCCAACAAACTAAATTGCTGATATTGATGGAAGTTTAGTTTCAGTTATAAGATAAAAATGAGTTGAACTAGAATTTAGAATAGCGAGCAACATAATAAAACTAATTATTTTTACGTAGTTTATAGGGCGATGCTGTTTAATTCCTTCCTAAATAAATAAATTAGGTCCTTAAATTTCTGGCCCCTAGCTAAAACTCAACAAGTACGTCATAAAGAGGCTCGCGTGCAGCACAACTGGACGAGCAATGCTGCCGATGCAGCACGATGCAGACTCACCGACAGCCAAAGGGCCAACATTCCTCGTCATTCTCGACCGCCCCTACGATCTCTCGATGCTTCGCACACGTACAAACTGTACTGTTTCTCTTTGACAAAGCACCAGCACATACTAGTGGAAACATATACTCTATGCAAAACTCACAGATCAGGTATAGCTCTACCTAATGCAGGCAAATTAAAACTCTAAAACATATAAAAGTAGAAACCAGTTTGACGCTTCAGTAGTTCAGAATGATGAGTCGGACCCTCGTAGACACGCAACTTATCAGCCCGGCTTATCGTGGCAGTGTTTTATTTTCACAATAAAACAACATCAGCCAGCTTATTATCAGCCACAAAAAAACGTCAGCCGAACAGCTTGTTAGTCTAAAGAGATCACCTAGTTAAGGCCTCAAGGATAATTAATCACCATCTATCCGAAAAGCCAAAGGGAGGGAAAATGAAAGAGCGGCTCCTCGCAGCGGGAGGGGTCGGCAGTTGGCAGTCGGCACATCCACTCCATGGAGGCACCAGAAGCAGATCGAACAACGCTGCGAAACGACCATGCGTGCCGTACATGAATGTATGATTGGTTGGGTGCTCACTGCTCACGGAATGCACGCGAGGTCGATGCTTTTGCGGTTTTGCCTGTCGAGCAGGTCGGCTTGAATTTGATATGATGCCCGATGTCTCCACCACCAACTTGTGTGGTGGCCTTGCCGTTGTGGGGACGGAAGACACAGTACAAATATCTGATATGATGAATTCCTCCATATATAGCCCCTGCACTGCAAATCTGCAACTGTTTGTCTCCTACCTACTACCCATTATTCGTGTCAATCCACGTGTGTCCAAGTAAAATTGAACTAAATTATATTTCATTACACGGCGGTGGATATACATGCATCCAAACAAAGTCTAATGCTACCCGATTATATTTCATTCGCGCTACTTACCATATCCCGAACATTTGGCGCTTTTTAATTTTAATACATGTTTTTCTAACAATATTTCAGTCAAGATTCAACGAGCCGAACGAGGCCGTTTCAAGGCCGTAAACGGTAATGCAAATGGGATCTGTATACAGCGCTAGTGGTTCCAGACAATGGAAACCTTGATTTGTTTGTTTCGCAACCACGAAGGGAGCCAGGCGACGGGATCGGTTAGCGCCAGGTGGTGGGTGGTAATTATATTTCATATAGGCTCGTAATGGGTCACGGTGTTATCAGTTACTGAGAATGCGAACCAACCAGCAAGGAGCGCAAACATATTACGGTGTGAACGGGTAACGGGCCACAGACCCCCAACCAAACGGCACCTAATATTCACCCCAGCCGTCTGCAGGCGATTTATAATTTGTGTGAAGTGCTTAGCCGGAAGCTTTCCAGCTGTATCATCATGTGAAGAAGAGAACAAAGCTTTATGGTTTCTGCGATTTGTTTATGAGTGCTACTGGCCCCCGGTGATCTAGCCTGACATCTGATGAGCCTCAACCTTATCCATTGCTGAAAATGATGTAGCCTCAATCTGAAATCACTACTATAGAAACAATTTGTGGCAACGTTTCCCTTTCTTTGTAGGAGCGACTCTATATTGAGCCGCCCTTACAAATAGATTTGTAGGGGCGGCCGGTGTTATCAGCCGCCCCTACAAATGGCCCAATTGGTAGGAGCGGCTCTATATCCAGCCGCCCCTACAAATCAAAGGGGCGGCTCAATATTGAACTGCCTCAACAAATAGACGCCGAATATTAAAAATTAAGCACTAAAATTTAAATTTTGTAAATGACCTTGGATGGAAAAACAACCAAAATGAAAGTTGTAGATCTAGATAAGTTATGAAACTTTGTAGTTGACAACTTTTTTATTTGGAATCATCTTGTTAAGGAAAACTTCGTTTGAATTTTTAAAAATTTGAAATTTTATTTTTTTAAACGACCTCGGATGAACAAACAGTAAAAATAAAAGTTGTAGATCTTGAAAAGTTATAAAAATTTGTAGTTGATAACTTTCTCATTTGAAATCATCTTGTCATGGAAAACTACATTCGAATTTCTTAAATTTGAAATTCAAATTTTATAAGTGACATCGGATGGAGAAACTACCAAAATGAAAGTTGTAGATCTCGAAAAGTTATAAAATTTTATAATTGACAACTTTTTCATTTAAATAAGTTTAGGGCCTCAAACAATTAATTTATGCTCAGTTTTGTATAATATGTGGGAAACCAAAATGGATTGTAGACACAAGTGATCGTAAGGTGCAGTGGTAGAGGAGTTTGCGCGCGAGGGAGAAGTTGTGGGTTCGAATCCCGGCCGATGTAAAGTGTGCAAAAATCGTGAAAAATACTGCAACCATAGAGTGGGTGTATGGCTGCCGATGGGGACCTCCTCGGATTAAAAAAAATTGCTATTATTTACCCCTTTTTCGTGATTTCTAGAAATTAATTTGTAGGGGCGGCTCAATATCTGGCCAACCGTCCCTATAAATCGATGATTTGTAGTCACGGTTTGATAGCGGCGGCTGCCAAAACCGATGCTATAGATCATCTGGAGCCGCCCCTATAAATACAATCTGGCGTAGTGAATGGAACTGTCCAATGGCAGCACGCAAGTGGATGAATAGGGTAAGTCGTTAGCCATACGTCAGTGGTAAGTCGGCACAACTGATCGACCGGGTCACTTTGTCACTCCCAAAGACACACCACACACACAAAGAACTCTATGTGTAGCTAGCTGATGGTTATAGACAACAGTCGTAAAAAAAAACTCGACCTGTGGGGATAAGACTACCTCCGGGCATTATGCTTAAGAAGAAGACCTTCTCACGTAGGACGTATGCTTCGCCGTGGGGCAGATGAGGGGATTTTTTTTCAACGCACAGTACGCCTTCTCTAGCCAACAAATCCACCCCCGAGTGGGTTCGAACTCTGGCTGGCAACCCAACTGGTCCAGCGTTCGCTTGCATAGACAACCATCGTCGTAGCTAAATTGCTAAAACAGGTCTCTATGCATGTTCTTTTAAAGCGATTTCAAGTTAAATTAATCATATGCGATGTCAACCATTTTCGAAGAGAATAGTATAAGTCTATAAGAGAAGAAAGGTAACTCATACGATTGGTATATTTCTGTGTAGTCTGTACAAGTGTCATTTTGATTCCGCTCTAAAGTCAAATTATCTTAATTTTTATACTCACTACCGGAAACAGTAAAATTATCGAGTGCCTGAGGGTTTGCCGAGTGCATTTCATCGGGCACTCGACAAATATCCTATTTACTGAGTGTATTTAATGAAACACTCGGCAATCATACGGTACTCGGTAAAACCCAACTTTACCGAGTGCCTAATAAAAAACACTCGGCAAACTACAACAAAACGCTCGGCAAACAGGGACACTCGGCAAAGTGGAGTCACGTGCGCTGGGCGTGCGGCGGCCATGTGAGGGTCGTTGGGTGCGCCGCCCTGCCGTTAGAACTTTGCCGCGACACTCGGCAAAGACAGAGTATGCCGTGTGTTTTTGACTGACACTCGACAAACTGATATTTTTGCCGAGTGTTTTTTTTACACTCGGCAAAGTAATGTTTTTGCCGAGTGTTTTTTAAAGGCACTCGACAAAATAATAATTTTTTTCCTCTCCTGCCCTCCAAGCTTTTTTTACTCTCCACATACAACATGTGGTACTACATGTTAAAATTTGGTATATTTCTCGATCTGTTTGCTATATTTAATTAATTTATTGCATTTAGAGGAATTTTTTGATTTAAGTCAAATTTGAACTGCAAGTGATTCAAATAATGTAATAAATTGAGTGGAGAAATCATATTCACGTTATTGAGTCCATTTTGGGGCCTTACTCGGGAAATGAAAAGATTTTTCAAACATTTTGTTCGGGAAACACAACCACGAACGTGTGGCCGAATGGTTTTTAAATTCTAAAAAACAAACAAAGTCTAAAAATGACGAGATTTGGCAAGATCTCCTGATATCATATGTGGAGACTGTGGAAAAAAATTAAGAAGGTTTCGCACAATTTGTCACGTACA